CTAAAGCCAATTTAGGTAATTTTGTTTTAGTAGGGGGTTACCTCGTGTATGATACTAAATATATTCAAATTGAATCTTTTTTTTTACATAATAGCCTTTAAAATACTAATTTGGCGTACGAAAAGTGTAAAATTAGCAATTTTGGCTGGAGATATATAACTTTTGGCATATTATAACTCCGAAATACAAAATTTAAAATATATGAAATTTGTGTGTTGTATTTTGTATGTGGTCAGTTTTTGAAAGAAAGTATCAAACGACAAGGCTGTTATCTTAGTATATAAGAACTTATTCTATAAAACATGTATTATAAAATTTAGCCAAAAAAGTAATAAAAATATGTTTTTTGGTAAAATTTTGGTAACATAACAAACATAATGTGTTATTCAAATTGAATCTTCCAATGACGGACTAGCTTCAAAATACGATTTTTGGGTAAAAACTTTTAACAAATTATGCCCAGGAAGCAGACTTATTGCTTATGGCTCTCATACTTGGAGACAAAAAATAGAGTTAGAATCAACATAGGCCTACAAAAACTTCATCCGCCGTATGCTATGAAATTAATACCAATGTGCCAATGTACCAAGGCAAAGCGAGGAAAGTAACAATGATAGCAGTAATCGTTATAATGAAGATACTTTAAGTGAAAATAGTTTACTGCCAGACTGGAGCTACGTCATTAACAATAAAGAATGTTCAGTATCACCAACACCATCCCACTTCAAATATTCTACTCACAACAGCAACACAAATGGATCAGTCATTGCATCAAAATAGAAAATAATGTTTTCTACAAAGTTCTCATTTTGCTTGAGGACCCCGGCGTAGTAGAAAATCAGCAACAATCCTCCAAAGGGTGATATTCACTAACAAATTCGCCAGATCACAGTTTTTTCTCCAATGCTACACAAGAATCGACGGATATACATACTGTACAAGCTCATAAATAATTAGATAAGTAATCGTTTAAACAATCATTAGGCTGCGGATGGCCTATTCAGGAATATGAGTGTCCCTGCCCACGATGAGCTACGGGATCCTTCTGACCAGGAGGAGAGAGTACCTGTCAGGGTCGCACTACCCTTGGTAACGGGAAGTTAGCCATTTAATCAATAAAACAAGATTTAAAAAAACTAAATAAAGACATACAATAATATAAGAATATAACATAATGCACTTGTAAAGCATAATGGGGTATTCTTAATCTCAAGTCAACGCCAGCAGAAGTGATTCTTCCAAAGGATTCCGTCAATGGCGGCAGTGTGTCTTCAGAGGAAGACGGCTACTAACAGTAATAGTAACAATGACAATAGCATTCATTAATATGATCAATATTGTGCTTTCTGGGAAGCACAATAAATAAAATAAATAAATGAATTCAAAATGTATGTAATCAAAGTAAATAGATCTGTTACTTAGTTATTGTATCGACGTTATCGAATACAAGTTATAAAAATTGTGTAGTTACCTAGAGGCCTGCTTGGTAACCATGTTTTATGCACACCGGTCACTGATGTTGCTTTCAATGCTCTGACGTGTCGAAATGGAGTTTGTATTTAAAACCTCATAAGTAGTAAGGTATATAAGGTAACCTGCTAATTATATAACGCAATACATTTTTAAGACTGGGCATGCGTGTAACAATAAACCAATTAAAGGTCTCAATTTGGTGAAGTTTATTTACTTGTTCATTCACCATATGTGCCATTATACATTATTTTTCCCCAGTCAGCCGCAAGCAGGCTGGATTACCGTACGTTCTTAGCGTTCTTCGTCTGATTCATCTTACCGAGTAGCTGTAATTCACTCTATTAAACCAGGGAAAATGAACACTCTTCCCTGATTAAACTAAATATAATCCATATACTGATTTTCTTATATAGCTATAAAACGATTGGACACAACAAGAGGTTAACATTTCTTTGGCACTACACGACATTCTATGCAGACGCCTTAACCAACTGGGCCATTGATGCTTACGTTGAAAGTTCGTATGCAATTGGAGGCAATTCATTTCGCACACGGTATGCCAATACAACACTAGTATTTGATGCACACACGTTAAACAGAGATCAAATTGGTACGCCCTTCTCTTATAAGCATCTTAAACAAGACGAGATCTCCGAAAAAATACCTTAATATAAGAAATGTAACACTTGAAGAGGTAAACTCTAAATTGTCTTGCGTTAATGCTCTATACATGTATATAAAGTTTTAAACGGTAAAGAAGAGGAATATTTTGTGTTGCAAAGACATTGCTCCAACAAGGATTCGATCCCGGGACTTTCTGCTGTCTATGCAGAGAATTTAATCAACTGGGCCATTGAGACTTTAGTTGGAAATTTCAATCCTATTTCAAGTAATTTTTAAAATGTTTCTAAGAAAAATAAAGACTTAGTTTGGGGTGTTTAAAATTATAGTTTTGCATGCTATTTTTTATGTTAATATTTCGAAAAGAAAAATTGATTGTTTACGAAATGCTGAAAACTGTTGAGAAAGTAGCAACAGTTCGTTTGTTGTAAATTTCACAAAACTGCTCTATATACACTTTTCACGTTGTATTTCAATCATAAACTAACAAATATTTTTTCAGAATAATACAATAAACATTTTACCTTAGATTTAAGATTTGATTATTTAAATAATGTGCATTTTGTATTTTCGATATAATCACTTGATTGATTGAAACGGGCGTCATTATAAGCGAGGCTTTAAAATGTGTTGTCGTTGAAAGTTTAAATAATGGATAAAACAAAATACATATATAAATATATATAAAGGCCTATATATACACATATATATATATGTATATATATATGTGCATTTTGTATTTTCGATATAATCACTTGATTGATTGAAACGGGCGTCATTATAAGCGAGGCTTTAAAATGTGTATATATATATATATATATATATATATATATATGTGTGGGGGTGTGTGTGTATGTGTGTGTGTGTATATATATATGTGTGTATATGTATGAGAATATAGAGAATGCAATATTTCAAAAGCCACTGTACTTCAAAAGTAAACGTTTGTTTAACTCTCCGCTACAATTACATCAAATCATGGAGCGTAAAAACAAAGAATTCAAGAACAATATTATTAAAATATTCTGAAATACGTAAATATTATTACAATTATTAGGTTCATTCTCTTTTTTGTACATCTGAGGTATTTAAACTTGATTGGCGTCATAGGCCTAATAATAATAATAATATGATTAATAATGTTGGCACCATTACAATGGTACGAAAAGGTAGAGTACAATTGTTCACTTCAACCGGTAATGATGTAATCAACGTAACCAACTGTATAAAATTGAAGGTCTAGTTCAATGTCAATATGAATACCAGATCAATGTTCTTATTTTTCATAACAACCCCTACATAAATCAGAAAGGGTAAAGATCCCTTTATACCTTACAATCGTCTTCATATCGTCAACAAGTAGATAAATATGCTGCTATATCAACCATAGTTCATCAGCAAACACTCCCTGCATAATTTTAATGGGAGAGAGGTTCCGCTCACTTTACAACCACAATATAATATCATAGTCAAGAAGATGCATAAAATTGCAGAAATGCACTCATAAGGAAATAAGGAAAGTGCTTTAATGCTATAATGCCATAAAACAACTGTTATTAAACTTTTCTGTAAAAAGGTCATAAAAAATTTATTGGAATTTCATGTTGACTACATTATAATAGTGATGTGATAATGGTAAATTTTACCATAATATAGTCATTGCCCAAAAATATAGTTTCGGTAAAGAGTATTATTTCTTTCAAATCTGCCTTTCAAATGGCCACAGAAATCATCCATTATATTTCAATTATAATCAAGTAAGTAAGTAATAAGAGTGTCAATTCACTACTTTAAAAATTTTCTCACCTCAGCCCAAGCTGAGGTTCGTGTGTCCTTCTCACATTTTAAAAAATAGCTAAATTTAGCCTACCTTCGATAAAACCTAACTAGTTTAATCGCTAGAATTTTCCCATTTAACTAAATATTGTTTTAATTCTTATTAAGCGTCTGTATACTTTATGGACCTCTCTGTCGTGTTTTTTTTTTCTTTTTTTCTTTTTGTGTGTTTGTGTGTCTTTTTTAAAAATTTTTTTTAGACCTTTTTGTCGTGTTTATTTTTTTTAAAATTTCATTTTATTTATTTATTTTTTCTTTACTTTTTAGAATTGTATTGTTTACAACTTCGCGAAAATCTAGCTTCGAGGTGTCAGAGAAGTTGCCCGACTTTTATTTCGTCACGGTAGACATGTGCGCTCCTTTTAACGACTGGCGTTGGTGATATTTTGTTGAAACTAAATTAATAGCGATATTATAGCGGAAATGGAAAAGATTGAATTTTCAATAAATAAATACAACAAATCTGCTTATATTATTAAGAAAAAATATATATTATCACTTTGAAAAACGTACGCAATCATAATATTACAAATAATTTCTGAAAACCAGACTAATGTCTACTTTGCTGCTGTTGTTAGCATTGTTGGAACACGTTATGTCTGCCAGAGGATGATAATGGTGTCCTTGTATAAATCTGAGTCGACTTTACCTTTACCGTTAATCTAGTGAAGTTATGTCGCTTAATGATAGATAGCCAACTTAGGCCTTTATATATAGACAAAATTGACTGGTTCACGTCGAAATTATATCTAGATAAGTGGATGTATGTGTATATCTAGATATAAGTTCGACGTGAACCAGGTTACAGATCTGGTATTTATATAGGCATTGGATAAATATAACACTGTTATTGTTATACAAGACCTTCACATTATACGGTTGATTATGTTGATCACATCATTACCGATTGAAATGAACAATGTACTGTACCTCTTCGTACCATTTCAATGGTGCCAAAATTATTATTCATTATTATTATTATTCATTATTATTATTATTATTATTATTATTATTATTATTATTATTATTATTATTGTTTAAATACCCCAAAATGTACAAAAAAGAAAATGAACATAATAATTGTAATAATATATACGTATTACAGAAAATTGTAATAATATTGTTCTTGACTTGTTTGTTTTTACGCTCCTTGATTTGATTTAATGGCAGCGGAGAGTTAAACATACGTTTCATTTTGAAGAATAGTGGATTTTGAAGTATTGTCTTCTCTACATTCCCAAACTACAAGTAATTTCTAAACTCACATAGCATCCATCGTCTTAGTAATTAACGTATTCAAATGGGATTTTTGTAAACTACGAAGATTAAATCATTAATGAACCCTCTTTCATAAAACCCTAAGACATTTGAAAAAATACAGATAAAAATAATACAGCTATTTTGATTTTGCAAACATACAAAACCCTTTAAAACATTCCATCATAGTATGGAATGTATGGTACCAGTATACTAAAGAGAACATTTGCTACAAGGCCTAAACAAAATTTCGTCATGGGAAAATAAATGTAGGCCTGGAACAAAATAACTTCCCAATATCAAAGAACCATAATTACAGTGATTCTACAATTAATTGTTAACTAATTATCTGTTTTAATTTTGTATCTTTTTAAATTTGTTTTGCTTAAATTGCTAACAAACTAGGCCCATAAAGGCGATTATATGTTTTACATGTTGTTAGCAAGACATAATTCCATTTGGCGCAAACAGATTTGAACTCGCAGCTGATATAAAACGTAATACATGATTCGTTATGTTGTTTTGTCGCAAAACTAGGAATCCTTGATTGGTTGTTATGAGTTAAAGAAATCTTCTTTTAGTATGACGTCATAATGTAGTTGGCTTGGCTTGTGTTCTCATTATGTTACTTTTCTCTTCATGATATTTCGCTGAATTTAGATAATAGTTACATTTCTGCAGCTTCAATGTACAAACATACCCAGAGACAATATTTTTGAAACAAAATGTATTCATTTATAATAATCTAGTAGGACCCGGGTGTTCCTATGCACCCCAGGATATAATTTTTTAACTTTAACTTTTTGGTAATCCTCAAAGTATCTCATGAACGAAGTTTGATGTTCCCATAAAAAAAAAATTGTCCCGTGGGGTCGTTTGGTGGCGATTTAGGCGGCCATTTTGGATTTTGAATGAAAATCAATTAGGCCTATTTGCATAATTTATTAACTGAAAATCATATAACATCAAATGAACCTCTAAATGTATACAGTGACCAGTGTTTTTTTTCTCAATACAAAAAATGACTTCTCAATACATTTGGCGGCCACTGGCGGCCATATTGGCTTGTCAATGAAAATCATTAATTTATATTAATAATTTATAATAATAATAATAATAATAATATTAATAATCATATAAAATCAAATGAACCTGTAAATCATCATCATCATCGCCGTATCGCCGAAAGTCAGATGACAGTTTCAGTGATTTTAATTTCTCCATATCATTTTTTAATTTTTAGTTGTAAATATAGCTATAAATATAGCTGTAAATATATAGACAGTGTTTATTTCTCAATACAAAACATTGACTTCGCAATTCATTTGGTGGCTCGGCCATTTTGGCAGCTAAACTGGCGGCCACATTAGCGGCCAT